GGTTGCCAATATGTTTCTTGGTGAGTCTCCTTAGCTTGATTTTGTGAACCCTGCACCAAAGAGTTTAATTCATTAAGAATTTGATTATAATCTATTGACGAATTTGAGTTTGGTTGGGCATATTGAATATGAGGTGGCTCCCAATATCTTTCTTGTTGAACATTTTGAGGTTCCCACCACATAGAAGTTGAATGATCACTCCAATCCGAATTGTAAGTATTGGAAAACACGTTATTCCTTGATTGAAGATCAACTATATCAACGTTTTGCATTTGGGACCTTTCCATGAGCTGTGACAAAAGATAAGCATTATCAAATGCCATGTTGTGCTTCTAAAATCAACAAAATAAAACTAAAAATATATACACACAAACGAAAATAAAACAATCCAAGGGATTAGCAAAGTTGCTAATCCCCGGCAACGGCGCCAAAATTTGATGCGAGAATTATACGCACACAAATTAAACCCTCTTTTTATCAATTGTAGTATAAGTATAAGTAGGGATCGTTCTTAACCGGGGATTAGGAGGGATTGCAAAATCACTTGGAAACTGACTCAAAAACGTAAAATAAAGTTTAAAACACTAAACTAGACTCAAAGAATGCAAAACTAAACATTCAAAACACTAAAACAAACCAAAGGACTCAAAACAGCCCCAAAACACTCAAAACTGCCTTAAAAACACAATCTGGGCAGTTTTGAGCACTTTGGTGACTTTGGACGAATGTGTGTAATAAATTGAATCAAAACACTTATAAACACAAACTAAGACACTTTAACACTAAACTAGACTCAAAGAATGCAAAACTAAACACTTAAAACACTAAAACAAACCAAAAGACTCAAACAGCACCCAAAACACTCAAAACTGCCTTAAAAACACTTTCTGGGCAGTTTTGAGCACTTTGACTACTTTGGACGAAATTGGGTAATAAAATGAATCAAAACACTTAGAAACACAAACTAAGACACTTTCTAACTAAGTTGGACACTAAAGCACGGGGGGATTGAGTTTTGACGAAATTAACTAAAATGCACAGATTGTATTTAAAAACAGATTGTAAAGATGAATGTGATGGAATTGAATGAATGAATGCTAGCCAAGGGGTTCATCTCCATACATGTTATACTTGCATATAAAACGAATCTAATTGCTTCTCAATAAACCATGAATTCTCAACGCCCCGGGTTAATTAGGTCCGCTTAAATTAACCGTCAAATTTTCCTTAAGTTAATGAATTGGATGATTGCATACGACAACCCAAAGCATTCCTCACAAGTTCCCTACATGAATTGCATAATAGAGATACAAGCAAGAATCATTAAGCATCATGAAAACTATAAGTGTTGACGAGGCATTCGTTACTATGATTGCATGAAACTTATGCCAAGAATTCGTTTAACACGATTGTTTATAAGCAACCTCCACTACTTGTGAATATAAGTTCGTAACTATTAGGTGAAACTCACTTATATTCTAGCGTCATATTCATGCATGAAAATTAAGCGTATACTCTCAATAAACATACATAAATAAGTTATCAATCAAACAGTTAAACAAATTGAATCCACAACTTATGAAACGCAATTAGAAGTAATCAAATCAAAATGCAAGCATAAACATATATTTCGAATCCCCCCTAGCCAAGGGGGGGTTTAGTTCCTCATACGTACAAAACAAAGAGAATTGAAATTAAACATTGGAATCGAGGAAAAGAAACACCTAAACATTCCAACAACTCAAACTTGAATTGTATGAACGTTTAGGCACTCTTCTCCTCCTCTTCGTTGTAGCACAAGGTCTAAGGATAGGTTTGGAGGGATGGGGAGTTATGGATGGTGTAGAATGATGTGTTTAGGATAGGGATGGATGTAGGGGACCTCAAGGCTTCTTTTTGGGCAGAAAATATGAGGAATGGTGAAGTATGGATGTGTTATAGAGAGGGGATGAATTTCTGGCGTGAATGGTTGTGTATTGTGTATGAATGGGAATGAATGAATTGTGGCTGCAATGGATGCTTATTTATAGGTGAAAAGGAGGGGATATGACAGCTAGGAACTTGGTGGAAATCTGAAATGGTGATGGGAGATGCATGTGGCTGATTTATGCATGTGATTAAAGGGTAATGACAGCTAGGTTATGATGATGAATGCATGTGCAAAGTTGGTTGAATGATTATGGGTGCATGTGGCTGATTTATGGTGCAATGATGAAAGGCAAAGTGCATGTGGCTGATTTGTGAAGGGAATGCATGTGGAATGAATGTGTGAATGATGGCAAATTGTGTATGTGAATGATTAGGGTGAATGTGCATGTGCTTTGACAGCTAGGTTGAATAAATTAAAGGGAGTGCATGTGGCTTGGCTGGAATGATTGGAATGCAATCTGAAATGGGATGTGTTGGTGTGAATTTCTGGTACAAAGGGCCTCCTTTGGTCTTCAATTTCGTCCATCTACTTGGCTTCAAGTATATGCAATCCATTTAACGCCCCAAACTACTCCAAAATGCACCAAAATGCACCATTTTGCATACTTTGCCCTTAGAACCTGAAAACACACAAAAGAAGCATAAAGGACTAAAATAACTAAAGAAACATAACGTAAATGCACGAGAACAAGCCATTTAAGTCGCATGAATATGCTCCTATCAGAGAGTCCAAACAAATAAAAGAACAAAAGGATGATTGCAAGAATAATTGTGTCAACTTCTACAAGATTTATCTTAATGAGAAATTTTTGTGTGTTTCAAGAACATGGTCTAGTATATCAAGTATTGTAATATAATTAGTTGAATTCTTTTGTTTAAGTTTTCAACCAATTATATTATTATACTTAAAATACCGAACCGTGTTCATCACGAAAAAAAATTTGTGTGGAGCTTTGCTTGCAACTAGACTTTACTGAGTGACACTACAATCTAATCAAAATTCTTCACGTGACAAGTCTTAGATATTATCTTTTATTATTCTTTTATATTTAAAACTCTCGTAATTATATTTCCTATTAATTGATATACACCATAAGATTAATTTAAGATTTCATTTTCCTCTAATCTCCTCTGTCTTGGCCTTTTTCTTCCCAAATTTTCTCTGCTGGCTTCTTCCCCACTATGTGCCCTTCCTTCCATCATAAGAATAGTGGGTATGTATAAGAGGAAAAAAAAATGAAAAAGAGGAACATATATATATATATATATATATATGTATGTATGTATGTATATTCTAACACAGACTTCATGTTTAACAAAACTTATCTGTTCCTCTTTTTCATTTTTTGTTCCCTCCTCATGTATATATTCTAACACAGACTTCATGTGTAACAAAATTTGTCTGTTCCTCTTTTTCATTTTTTTTTTCCTCTTCTCATCTCTCTCATTTTTCTTCTCCAGTTTTCTCTGCCGTGTGCAATCTTCTCCCCCCTCTTTGTTTCCTTTTTTCATAAGAATATGGGGCAAAAACAATTAAGTCATCTTCTCCAACTATCATGAAATGAAAAAAAAAAAAAAAAAACTCCAAACACGTATGGGCAAAATTTCATTGCCCAGCAGCTCATCCTGTAGCAAACTCTCAATACAAACTTGCAGACTACTCCATACTATTGAGTTGATCTCTTTTCACAATCTATTGGTTATCCTTCACTTTATTTGGTTGAAGTACAACTATTTTTACATATTGCATAAATACGGTTCACCCTCTTACTTTCACAAGTGCAATCTATTTGCACTTGACAGCTTGATTATCCATCTTTAACATGATGGTAGAAGTGGGAAAGATAAGAAACTGAAGACTCCTACTGCAAAACATAAACGTACCATAGGGAAAATTGGGAAGTAAAAAAAAAGGAGAGGGGGGGGGGGGGGGGGGGGAAGAAGAAAAAAAAAAAACATTAAATTAGTCTCATGGTGTGTATTAATTAGTATAAAAAATAATATAAGAAATTTTTTTAGTACAATAATATGAGAATTTTATATATAAAAGAATGACAAAAGATAATATTTAAGACTTATCATGTGACAAGTATTATAGTGTGCAAAATCAAGTGGCAAGCAAAGTCCCACACAAATTTGTCTCATTCATCGCGCATTTAAAAATCTCTATATTATAACATTCACTTCTGCTAAGTTCAATTATGCACGTGAATACGAGTGAGTTTTTTTTTTTTTTTTTAAACAAACGATATTATCTACAATAAATGAAGAGGGTGGACTTAGTCTCACAATAAGTTATCACTAATGTGGTTCAAATTCACTTTTGGTGATAATCAAACATAAAACCTCTTACTTACAAGGAATAACACTAGATCGTAGTTGGCGAGTACGAGTGAGTTTTGACCATTAATAAAACGTTGTAGATCATACAATAATCTATATTTTAAAATTATTCACATACGCACAAAGACTCTATATATATATATATATATATATATATATATATATATATTAAATCTTAACTGGTTTCCTAAAATTTATATTTTCCTTGAACAAGAATTACCCAACCCGGGCATGTAAAAAATATGTTAATTTATATTATCTTCTTTTTTTTCTTTGATTTTTGAAATTGATTAGGATATGTTATTGATCCGATCCCCATCAATCAGTGACCTCCCATTTTCTACAAGGAAAGATAAACTTCAAAAGGCGTAAAATTAGGTTCATGTTAGAGCATCTTCAAAAGTACCAATTACTTTGACAAAAATAAAAAAAAATAAAAAAATGTACCAATTACGAATTTGTTAATTAATAGTAATTAAAACTAATTTAGCGCCAAATTAATTTATGTATCTAAAAAAAATCACTATAATATTTTATTACTGTTATAAACTTGTTATTTAAGTATAATTATGTAAATCTTTGTTACTTTCCAATTATGACTTGTATTTTTGGGAGGAGAATGATTTCTTCCCCCCCTTTTTTCCCTCCCTTATTACTATAAATAAAAGCACTACACGAATAACACATCTTCTGCACAATCCTACAAACATCTCTCTTTATGTTTTTTCATGTGCTGCCGGCCCGCTTTTCCTATCAGTTAAATATAAGCCACAACAGTTATTTAAAAATTCAACCCCTTAATATTTTATTAATTTGACCAATAAAAAAATAAAAAATAAAAAATAAAAACCACCGGTTCTACCAATTTCTAGAACCATTGCTTCTTCTCTCCCTTCCTTTCTCCCTTTCTCTTTCCTTTCCTTGCCTCGTCCTTTTTCGCCTTCTTCCTTATGATCTCTCGATCTCTTTCTCCCTGATTCTCCATCACAGACGCCAGAGCGCCGCGCCAAACGAGTTCCAAATACGGTCTTGCCAGACGACAACCCATTCGTCACCAACTCCGGCTTCGAGACCCATCCTCGCATAATTTCATCCCAGACCCGTGTAGCTGCATGCCCGTCATCGCTTCTACAATCACCCCACGGTAGCAAACATGCAGAAGGAGAGAGAAAACATTGAATTTATAACTTTTAATGTTTAGCGGTACTTTACTTTCTCTCTCCTCGTTACATCTATAGCTAGTCCCTGTTCATCGCTAAGATTTCTGTTAAAGTAGTTAGGGCTGATTTGGTATTATTGTGATTTGAAAAAAAAATTGTTTCTACTGTTCTGTGAGAATAAACTTATTTTTGTTGTTTCACGTTTTTATTTCTTTTTAACCAAAAATTATGAAAATAAGCTGTTTTTAAGTGTTTACCAAACATTTTTTTTGAGCTTAGCTTTTTTTGGTACTCACTTTTTATAAAAACACCTCAGTACCAAACCAATACATTATCTGTTGAACTTAAGTTCTCGTTACATCTAGCTAGTCCCCGTCCATTGCTGAAATTTCCGTTAAAGTAGTTAGCCTGTTGGACTTAAGTTCTCGTTGCATCTAGCTAGTCCCTGTTCATCGCTGAAATTTTTGTTATAGTAGTTAGTCTGTTGGACTTAGTGTTCGTTGGTTTTTGCTGCATTTTGATTTTGTGTTAAAGTAGCTAAACAAGCTCATTTAGCTAGTTTGTTGGAGATGCTCTTTGATACGGTAGCTATAACACTATTCAAGCTCATAATTACATCCCATTCTAAAAACTGAAAGAAAGAAAGTGGGTTCCAATTCAATAATTATCTTTGACGCATTGTCGCTGCACTTCAGAAATACAAGTTTAAAAGAGGAACAACAAAAATAAGCTAATTCGACTTTGAAACAACGTACGTAAAGTGTTAAAATATAATCTTCGTAAAGTTGTTTTAGTCACGAAGTGTAAGTATTATGTAAAGAGACAAAGATATAGAGCTAAATATTAGACCTGACAATTTCTTACACGATCCGTTAACACGACACTAAAATAACAGGTTTCGGGTCATCACGATAACTAATCGGGTCACACGATAATAACCCGTTAAGAACGGGTCCTTAACAGGTTTACACGAGAGTGACACGCAGATAACCTGTTTCGACACGATAAGAAAAAAGTTATTTTGATGATTTTAATTTTTTTAAACTACTAAATAAACTTACTATAAAATACAATAAATGTAATGAATATGTATATATTGTTTATTAATTATGTCACATCCCAGCCTGGACCCTCACCACATCCTGGGCTTGACTCCACCGTAGCACGATATTGTCCGCTTTAGGCCCCGACCACACCCTCACGGTTTTGTTTCTGGGAACTCACACAAGAACTTCCCAATAGGTCATCCATCCTAGGATTGCTCTCGCCCGAACTCGCTTAACTTTGGAAGTAAATTACGTAGGGATGTGTTTTATGTAAATTATGTATTCTATCGGTAAGAACTCTGAGACGTGATCTGATAATTGTTCTAGGTGACATTGGTTCGTGATGTCTCGATATGCGTGCTAGGGAGTCATAGCACGGACCTAAGGTGAGTGGATCTTTTCCTTTCTATCGTATATATATACATATGATTGACAATTCCACAAACCTTATTAAGTTGATTTATGCACATTACCCACTTGTAATTATTATGAATCCCTTGAGGCATAGTGCGAATTACGAATGGTTTGATCCCTGTTTAGGGTACGTAGGTAGTCTAACGAGACGTTAGATGCAGCCATATAATAAATGAGACTAAATAATTGGGACAATGGCCTTACTTGAGGAATTGAGCATTGTGAGGGACATTGGTGGAAAATGTGAGGGATATTGAAGTAAGCAAAATGTAAGTAATGATAGTTAACTAAACTAGTGTCTAATCGGGCTTTTCACCGATAATTATTCCTGAAAATAAATAGTTTGGGAGTAGGGCATTATTGATTGTATATTTTTACACCGTATTATATATTTTGGGAATACTATGAAATGCCTGATTCTTAGATTTGCATCATGGCATATTCTTATATATATTACCTAAACCTAATTATTGTGAATGCTTTGAAGTGCCAAATGACGCTGCAGACGCTCAGGTGAGATTCAGGTAAGTACACTTTGATGATGTTGATGGTAGTGAGTACGATTGTGTTAAGATATATTAGAGCTCATAAACTTGCACCTCGGTATTAGTGCTCCCACCCGTGGCCAGGGCCTAGCCTTCACGTGATCGTTCACCTCCCGCACCACACGCTCACCTTGAATCCAAGGTAGGTGCCAGCCTGTCGTACAGACCATATTAGGTAGTTCCGACTCATAGGTGACTTGCGATACTTCGCACAGCCTTCACGTGATTGTAGCACTTGAGCGTATTTATTTACACCCAGCCTGTCATACAGACCACTTTAGGTGGTTCCGACTCATGTGCAGGATTTGGTAAATGAGCTATTGGCTAGCATGTTATTGAGCTATTGGCTAGCATGGTGATGAGCTATTGGCTAGCATGTTATTGAGATATTGGCTAGCATGCTATTGAGCTATTGGCTAGCATGTTATTGAGCTATTGGCTAGCATTGATTGATGAGAGATGGATAAGTCATACAGGTCACAATATGTGACTCCAACTTATATGCTAGTCATGATTGATGAGATATGTGATAAGATATGAATAAGTCATACAGGTCACTATAGGTGACTCCAGCTTGCGTGCTAATATGGTTTATTAAGCACATGATTATTTATATTGCTAATGAGATGCTGAGTAGTATTATACTTCTGAGTTTACTATTAGTATATTTTTGATTTCATACTTCTACGTAGTATGATTTGCTGGAAACTATTCGAGTTTTACGGCGAGGGGTTACCACCTTTGATAATGGAAATGATTTTGAAAATCTTTGTTTTGATCACTCACACTTTCTATTTTTACCCCTCCAGGTTCTAATAGCATGGTTCCGTATCGACGACGACATGTGGCACTCCCAGTCCTAGTGGCTTATATTGATGGTATAATTACTATCTTGTTCACTGTACTTGTCTTTTGCTCTGTATCACGTGTGAAATGGGTCTATACCCACTCACCGCGTAGTTGTGTATATAGGAACTTTTAAGTTTAAATTTATTCACACTTTACACATTATCACATTCTATGGCTTTGTCACCTTTCGAGTGTTGGCCAGCACAGCTTGATTCGGAGTCCTAGTGGACTTTCTGAGTCGGCGTGTGTCAATTATTATTCTATATAAATTTTAAAATTTAAGTTTTATTTATTTATGTGTTTTTATAGTATATTATAGGCAAAGATTGAGATTAAAAATCATAAAACACATTAAAAATAAAAATATCAAGTAATTTAAAAATACCAAACACATTTAAAAAATTATAATAATTAATTTACATGTGCGAAAAATATGAAAAAAAATATGCAAACGCTTGAATTTTTAAAACCATACAAACTCTCATGAATATTATTTTTAAGGGAGTTCAAAATAAACAAAATTCATAATCATTAATGTATAAGTCTAAAAGATGTGAAAGCATAATAAACGTTCATAATTGCAACCTCAACGCTTAGATGACGGTTACATGGTCATTTAGATTTTTAAAACCCTCCAAATCTCATGAACAATGTTTTTTATTTGAGTGCAAAATTAATAATAATTATTGTATAAGTGTGAAAACTCGAAATGAAAAGTTTTACAACTTTCATGAAGGGGTGGGTCAACTATGAAATTAAGCATATATATACTAATTTAGTATTATGTTTTACATTTTTTTGGGTCAAAGTATGTCTTTCATTTTCATTTGTATTGATTTAAAATATTTTTTTCTTAACGGGTAACGGGTCGGGTCATATTACCTGTTTACTTTAACGGGTATTACACGACACGACCCGTTAAACTGTCGGGTATGACACGAACACGAGAAACACGACACGAATGTCAGGTCTAGCAACTATAAGAGGTACGTAGTTCACTTTAAGTTAGGCTATGTCCACAAAAGTAGAGAAGTTATCATTAGTATATAATACAAGGGTTCAAGCATAATCATCATTAGTAAGTTCTAATAATGAATTAAGTAGAATAATGTCGTTAGGGTTTAATTGTAGGAGAATGGTCTCCTTTTATAGTTAAGGAGAGTCGCATGCTTCCATTCGCGGTCAGTAAGGGATTTTAGGAGCTTTATTTGATGTTGACACGTGTCACGTTATGATTGACCTCCTGTTTGAGAGAAACTCTTGTACTTCGTCATGGGTGTCTCAATACGGATCCTTCAATAGGTTCATGAAAGTATAAAGTTGACTGATACTCAATAATCTCGATAATGATGAAATATACAATACAAACAAAACAAATATATCTCAAAATTTTAAATTCTCGATATATATTGTTTTGGTGAAATCAACAAAGAAAATTTGAGCATACGATCTTACTACTTTATTTATGGCCTGTATATCAACCTTATTACTACCGTGAAAGCAATTGTTTATTGATCGGCTACTGCCGATGATATATTAGATTCGAACATCGTCTGACATAAAGTATTATATCTTGTTTTATGAATGAACAATTATTTATAGTACACTATTATGAAGTAAAAACTAAAAAGTAACGTATGAAACAAGAGATTCTTTTTTATCGTTAGTGACACTAATAGTGTACTATTCGAATACATGACAATTATTTGTACTATCAAGGTAGTACCTGGACAAAATATTAGTTTCAAGAGAGTTAATATTGTATAAAACACACTATACAAACCCTAGATGCATGGTTCTGTTCATAAACCCTAGTTGAGGAGGCAGTGGGATATTAACTTCGGTTGGGTTGGACTGGACCTAATGGAAGGAAAAGACTGAAGAGAGCGCCCATATGTGGCAATCTGAAATCTGAAAAAGCAAGAGGCAGTGGGAATTTGAGTCCTTTGGGTTTGGCTGTTTCGAACAAATTCAGACTGCATGTCACCATCACGTAAAAGAAATGCCCACACCCACACCAAGACTTACTCTCTGTTATCATGTATTCAAATTTTCTTTTTCTACCGCGCACTAATTGGGTCCCGCTCATTGTCCCTTTTGTCGCCTATTGTCGGCTCTCCTAATCTTTCGTTCCTTCCTCCTTACGCTTTCAAAATTTTCATTTTCCATTTAATTAATTAGTCTCCAAAGTTGATAATTATCTGTTTAGCCAAGGAAGTTCATAATTATTTTACTTTAATTACTCAACTATGACTAATTGTTTATTTGAATGAGAATATGCGGGTTTTATGAGCACCACTCGTCATATATCTCACTCTACTGCTCAGCTATAGGGTTTTTGAGCACCACTAAATCGACTTAACTAATAGAGGTTTAAATGATTAGTTTTATTCGATCAATTTATACATAGGGTAGTAACTATTCATATTAGCTATTCACACACCCTTGTAAATTTTTGTCTATTAATTTTTTTTAATTCATTTAACGGTTGGAAATTAAGAAGTATATGAAGGGTAAAAATAGGTATGTGGATAACATCACCCATACATAAATTAACTTTTGTCTACGTAATGAGAATATTTGATTGGTCTGAACCTCCATCAGTTTTACGTAAAAAAAGATGCTTTATCAAAAAAGAAGAAGTTAATTTGTTCCTTTTTCTGTTTCTGAACAGGAAAAAGGTTGAGAAGAGTCGGCTTAATCATCTAAATTACTAGTGAATGCATCTGGTTCTTGGTAGGTAATTCTTCCCGGGGGACATTCTATAGGGATCAAAGTCGACTATGAGAAAAATCTTGACATATATATTTAATCATACCGGGGAGGTTTTAAGCAATTTAATTCAAAACTTTGGATGAACCAAAAGAACCAGTAATCTCTGTTCATGTATGTTCCTTTGAAAACATAAAAAAAGAGATGAAGAGAAAGAATCAAGACTTTGGCATTATGAGGTCAATAAAGAGAAACCCACTATCACTACGTACACTCATGATTCCACAAAAGATGAATAAAAACGAATTTTATAAGCAAAACCAGACAAAAATCCCACATAGAATAACACAAACAGCACTAATGCAGTGACATTTTAGGGGGTATAGTCAAAACAAAGACATTTCTGTATTTTTCCCCTCATCGTCAGAGTCATAAAGTAAGCCAATGCATAAAGCAATAAGCACACACACGATCTAAAAGACAATCTAAAACATTCTTTCTTCCACTAAGAGCAGCTGCAGACAAAGAAGGTGAACACTTTCTCCTTTTCTCTCTCTCTCTGAAGTCATCAGCTTCCTTTCTTCCCCTTTTCTCTTCTGAATTCATGGATACTGCTCAATGGCTGCAGGTGGGTGGGTTTATAATTTTTCATGTCATGTATTCTTTTTCCTTTCTTTAATGTATTAGTTCTATGAGCCCAAAATTTATTAATCTAGGTTAGATTCAAGGCCAAACATAGATCAAGCTCCTAAGTGTTTGAAACATATATATAATTACTGTGTGGGGTACTTTAATTCATAATTTCTTACTTCTAGCTATATATGAGACGATGTTCATCAAGGCAACTGAAAGTTTCATGATACTTGGATTTCTTTTATCCAAAGATAAAAGGTTATTTTGTTCTTTGTACATGAAAGCTCAACTTTTTTCTTTCACATGTGATAACCGATAAAGGAATTAAAAAGGCAGTACTTGTTGCTATTATTTGTAGTTTTTGTTTTTAATTTTTATTTATTTTTTCAATATGATTCTTCCCCAAGTACTAAAAAAGCTGATATAGGTAGCTACTTATTATGATGATCTATCTCTTTAATCTGTTTATTTAGATTTCTAGATCTGTGTGCATTTGTAGGATATACTGATCGTTTTGCTTAATTTTTCATTAAAATGAATTAGGGCTCTTAATTTTGATTTCTTTCTCTTAATATTGGGAGGTTGTGAATTAATTATAATTAGGGAAGTGGAGAACCGGAGAAGCCCATGGAAGATCATGATATGGGATCCAATGGATGCACAAGGTCAGTGTTGGAGAAAAGGGCAAGACCTCAAGAGCAATTGAATTGTCCAAGGTGCAATTCAACCAACACCAAGTTTTGTTACTACAACAACTACAGCCTCACTCAACCAAGGTACTTTTGCAAGACATGCAGAAGGTATTGGACAGAAGGTGGAACTCTCAGAAATGTCCCAGTTGGAGGAGGTTCAAGGAAGAACAAGAAATCCACATCCTCATCGGTATCGTCAAAGATTACTATTCCTGATCTTAACCCACCAACAACTCTTTCACACTTTTCATCATCTCACCAAAACCCTAGGGTTACCCATGAAGGCCAAGATCTTAACCTAGGTTTTAATGCTATAGATGCACATTACCATGGTACTACAATGGAAAACAACAATAGTACTAATTCCTCATCAGCTCCCAATCTTTCAGCTATGGAGCTTCTTAGGACTGGCATTGCTTCTAGAGGTGTGAATTCATACATGCCAACCCAGAATATGCCCGATCATCATTCAAACACACTCTATCCACCATCATCAGCTGGGTTCTCACTACAAGAATACAAACCAACAAACCTTGGTTTTTGTGTTGATGGGCTTGGAAATAGGTATGGGGGGGATGATCATGAGAATGTTAATGGTGGAAGGATCTTGTTTCCATTTGGGGATCATCATTTGAAACAGATTTCAAGCACTGCAGGTCATCATGAAGTACTTGATCATCATCAGAACAAGGGGCAAGGGAATCCAACTGGGTATTGGAATGGTTTATTAGGTGGAGGCTCATGGTGATGATTAAACAAGTGAAGGATCAGAAGAGGGAAAAGACAAGAAGAAAGAAAGAAAGTGTATTTTTCACTTTTAATTTCTTCCTCTTTTTTTTTTTTTTTTTTTTTTTTTTTTTTTTTTTTTTTTTTTGCCATTTAAAAGTTGGGTTACTTATTTGAAGTTGTTCAGAACTAACATATAGGATTAAATGTGTTTCTAATTTGATATATATATATATATATGTATGTATGTATATATGTATATCTTTGGATTGGCTTTCAACAAGAGGGTTGTGTAAATTCAGTACTTGATACTGAGTAGGGGATGGAAGAATAAATGAATGTAAGGCTCTTGGAAACATGACATGCATTCATGCATTCTTCCATCAAATCGATCACATGCATTTGATGCACTTGTTGTATGATTTTATAGACTTGTTGATCTCTTGTTTGTTCACTTGTTTCCCCTTTTGTCTATGGACTAAATTGAATTAAAAAAATTTCTTTTCACATTTGCTTGAGGTTGTTTTTGTTGCGTGATAATGTTGAATAGTTTACTCAATTCTCCCTCACTCTATAAAAATTTGTTTGAGGTTATTTTTGTCATATGATAATGTTGATTAGCATTATGTACGGAGCTCTTTTTATAAAAATTTGTTTGTTTCGTAACAATGTGGACATAAATGTGTCCAAAATCAAGAATATTTCTTAAACAAATACTATGTTCTCAATGGATTGGTCTATTTCGTGAGGAGCAGGAGCAACTCCACACATATTTTTCTCCATGCACACAAGAATAAGGTAGGTATGAGGTGCCAAGGTTGACGTCTTATCTTTTACACAACTGAGATTCTTCCAGCTATGAAAACATTTCGTTAGATAACAAATTAAAATGATGAAGGCCTACCTTTAATATTTACCTTTAAAGCAAACAAATAATATATCAATATTATTCTATTAACAATTAAACTCACTAATTTGATCCAATTAAATTATTAAAGTATTAGAACCGATCGAGCACTAGTATAGTGGCAATAAACCCAATACACATTCTTTTACACAGTATTATATATATGTTCTTACTTTAGGGTTTCGTAGACACAAGTCACACAACACCACCAAACTAACAAGCAATAAACTACAAAGATTGACAATTTTAAAATAATTACCTGCCTCAGCCAAAAGCAAACCTAATCAATTTGTTGACACACACACCTGGCCGCTGATCGGTTTTAGAAGACTCCTTCCATGAAAGATCATCATGACTTGCATGCCTTTCTATAAAAAAAACATTGATAAAACCAAAAGGAAAATCCCCACAAAGCCCACCCATCATATCTTATATATTTTGGTTTTAGGGTACGCAAAATGGGACCTCTCAAACATTCCTTCTAGGAATTAATTCTGTTTTAGGTAAATATTGTTGGTGTTACATATGATGCGAGTAAGAATATTTGATTAGTAAACTAATAAGTAGAGAAAGAAGGTTCACCACCCTATGACTCTAAAGTGATCACTGAAGTCAAACCCACTCACCCTAGCCAATGACCTAATTATGGTTTAAGGCATCTAAACCTCACTGATTTATATTTAGGCTCCCCTAGCTACTCTCCATTCTTTCAAGTGTCCACTAGCTTATCTAAATGGAGGTGCCATTTGTAACAACAACGATGGCTATATAGGCTGCCCAACCTAGATGTATCCACTACGCACTAGGAATTTAAGCGTGCATGATAGTTGATCTATTTTATTATGGAGTAGTGATTTTTCTTTTTATTTAATTGTAAGTGAGAAATTTAAATTCGGCAATCACGGGCATGACAAACATAACATCAAATTATTATAACGGGTCATTGTGTGGCTTGATTCAAATCTCTCATTTATTACTTTAAATGTATCGATGTTTCAAAAGAAAGAAAACCAAAACTTCCTGTTGAAGACTTGAAGTCATTGCGTTGTAATTGTACCTCAAATTAGGGGTTGCTCAAAAACCAATCAAATTCATCCAAAATGTCCGATTCCATCTAAAGCCGAAATTATTGTTCTAAGTGATAGTTCCATTTAAATCCATCCAAACTGACCGATTTTAGTCCAATTCTATCCAATTTTGATCGATTTTGGCAAATTTGATTGGAACCCTAAACTCCAAACCAAACAATTGAATTACTTATTATAATCCAAATTTAGTTGCTTTCCTTCCTTTTTTTAAAAAAAAAATTCTTCTTCCATACAAGCATATGAACTTGGACAAACCATGAATAACCATATATGTTTATAATATAATAAAGCCAAAACTCTTTTCTTTGGCATTTAAATTTTATTAGACATTAGCTGCAAGTGGAAGGAAACAAACTAAAGAGAGCATGAGAAGATAAGATATTGAGGGATTCCATGGAATCTTGATGCAAATGTTTATTTATCCTAGTCATTCTTGTACCAGATTTTTGTTTTCCTGTCTTTTGACAAAGTCTGTTTGTTTGTTTCGATTAGATCTATCTCATCTGACTTGGCTCCATTGTGGATATGTCTTCCTTGACTAGATCTATTATGGTTAGGCATCATTGCCTTGTTAGATCTGTGGTGGATTCGTCCTGGTTAGCACGAGGTTGTTGTCGCTCTGTCTAGGAGTGGTGAAGTTGTTGATGGTGCTAACTTAGACTGGCCAACTTTACGTTATGGAGATGGAGCAGATTGGTGGATCTTGTCAGCTTTAGATTATACAAGCGGTGAAGCCCGCACGATGCTGCAGGTTTCAAAACTGTCTTAAACATGTAAAAAGTAGGGCTTAAATACATGAGAAAATATGTGCCAAAGAGTAGGGTTATATACATATATTACATGAGAAAATTGAGGATGCTGACATGGCATAGTTAGAGAGTGCTATTTACGTTCTTGTATTACATGACAAAACCTGGGATGGTAGTACGCCATAGCCAGAGGGTTCTATTTACTTTCACATATTACATGCCAAAAATTAAGCATGTTACTATCATCCTTGGAGATTGTTCTTCAAAAGCTATGGTCCTATCCCAGGAAGACTTTTACGTCTAAAATTGTACAAAGCTCAAAAAGCAAGGTTTGTTCCACTAAAGACACCTATATGTGTAACTCCTTACGTTAAGTGTAGCTCCAGCGGGAGCTCGGAGCTCCTGCTCGAGGGACAGGCTCCGGAACGGGGCTAGATTGCTCGAGGGAGGAAGTCTAGCATTGGGTGGCGAGGGAGCCCGAGCAAGCTCGAGCACCAGGTCCGTCGATTCGTGCCGGCCCGAGCGACCGAAGGCAATCTGACGTGGACTGACATCAGGACAACGTCTCCACGCTTTTTGAGGGCCACAGAGATAGAGCTCCAGAGATCGGCACTGCAAAGGATGGAAGGAATTAGGGTGAGATTTGATGCATGCTTGGCGGAGGAAGCCGATGGGGGAGGACAAAAGGGTTGCTGCCACGTGTAGTGACATCGTCTGGCCGTGGTTCCGTCAACCCGCTTCGGCAATCGAGTGGTTCAAGAGGCTCGCCGCCTCTAGGGTTAACGTTTGCTGGATCGTACTCAACCCCGCTCTCATTTCTTGGAATTCAAAGGAGCAAAAACAACAAAAGCCAAATCCAAATCAAAATCCAGGGAATTCAATGTGTGCTAGAGTTGGGTTTTGAGCAAAAAAAGGCCAAGAAAAAGCAGAAGCAGGTAGCAACAGCAAAAGCAGTTTCTTCAGAGGGTTTGCTTTTTGGAGGGTTGTGTTTGTTGCGAGAATTCAAGCTTATCAGCAAAGGATGTACCCCACCAAAGCCAGAGGCAAAGACAAAGGCAGCAACAGCAAATGAAATCAAAGTGGTTGTTGTTTACAGGGAAAGGTCAAGTCCAGGTGTGGATGCTACCTTCAAATTGGACAAATTTGCATTTTCACAGAATACCAATCTACAAATAAAAAAATACTATTATTTTATTGTTTATTGCCAAGGCTATTCAAGTGCAATGGTAGAGATGCAAAAAACAGTTACGGTTCATTAAGGATAGTTACTATTCACTAGGTGGATTAAATAGTGAATAGCTTGGAGGAAGGGCTCCCACGCTGGAGTTGCTCTAATGGTGTCTCCTTTTTCTTGTACGACAACGATGAACTGAAAAAAAAAAAATTAAAAATAGAATTCGATCGCTTAAGAATTTAATGAATCTAAATTGCATATGATTTGCAGGCACACAAAAATTAAAAAGTAAGATTTGTTCACATTTGGTATTAGACATCCAATTCAGTACACACCTAAAAAAAGCATAAGCAAAAAATAATCTCTCATTTCTCATTTATTTATCAAGGCATAGTAATACAATGAAACAAAAACACTTAATCATTTGTCAAACATTGGTTGAAAATTTAAACAATTGACTTATTTGTTTACATAAGCAACCCTAAATATATTTATATATTTTACTTCCTCAACATACATGATATAAGCCAAAATTCGATTACGATTCAGTGCTTAATCCAAGTTCAGGCTTTATCATCAATGTTTGTTGTTGTCAGATAAGGCTATATCAACTCAGTCATGCACTTGGTCAGTTGGTTTTGTAAACGTAAACCAATCACAACCATATATATATTATGCGATATTTATAGGATAAAGTTCCGTGTTAGAGAGACTACTCATTCAAGATGGGAAAAAATTTGTTAAGAAAATTGATTTATGAGTGTTGGGATCCATACTTTATTCACTGGGAGATTGATCTGGGTTTGCTACATCTCGTCATCGGTCTCTTCAAATGCATAGGTCTTTTCACTGTATCCACTTGTGGTATCACTTGGATCATGTAAAATGGAGAGAGATTAAAGTATCAATGCACATCTAGTAATGGAAAAAAAGGTTTATGTCAATTATTTATTTTTTATAAAGACTAACCTCTTGGGTTTTTTTGTTGGTGTAGAGGTGGAAAGAATCTTTCTGACTGGCTCCCTTTATCGTTTCTTTGAACTTGAACTGCTCTCACATGGAGATGAAGGTAGAGATTTCTTGAGTGAGAGTGGTGGTGTGGACGGTAGCATTTCATGAACCATATGTTTCTTCCTAAGGTTACTTATTGCTTCATCACCTTTGTTGTTGTTTGAAAGATGAATTCGTGCTTGATCCTCGAAAACAGTTTTGATGAGCAAGTCACTTCTACTTGTGTCATTTTTAACTTTTCCAAGTCTGAGTTGGAAAAGTTTGATTTCATCTTTTACTCGGAGCATTTGTGGTGGTAATTCCTTTTGGTCACAGAAACCTTTGTTGACTACTAATTCTTCACATGTGATTCCAAATAGTTCTTCGACTGATTTGCCTATAATGATGGCATTGGTTTCGTCATTGGCATCTTCAAGAATTAAACTAACTTTGAATCTGTGTTGAAATTGATGTGATTATTTAGAAAGAAGAATAATTAAGTTTATGCTTTATATAGTAATAGACTCAAGAGTAATTTTGTATTACCAGGCAATAGGGTTCACTTTGGGGCTTTGGTTTTAGTTGTTTGAAGCAGATTGGACATGCCTTGTACGACAAGCCGTTACTCAAATCAAATCGTGCAACTGCTGCTCTGCACATAAATGTATTGTTCTGCAATATTTGTTAAAGAATGATGAGTATAATACCATAATGGACTGTTCTACATATTAGATGAGAATTGCAATTTCTCATGTGAATGTAATTGAAACCTCAGACAACAAATAGATAGCTAGGAAGAAATAAAAACACATGGATGAATAAAACTTCTAATTTTCAAGCACACCTAATTTCTGCAAAATCTTTCCAGACATCAGTGAAAACAGAATTTCTATAATACTAATTGCATCCATACAAAAGCTGACAACCCAATGAGACAGCATTAAGTTAAAATGATTGATCTATGTCATCAATGAATCATACTTCTTAAAAAGCAAAGCAATTGAGATTGTATATTCTAATTAGTTCATTCATCAGAATATAATTAACGCAAAACAAATCAAGATTTATATTCGAATCTACCTAACAGTTTGATTGAATTGTACAAATCGATATCTGAAAGCTAATTATCAATTTGACAACAAATTTTGATCACTGGAAGAAGCCAACCATTTTCTTCTACATTGATCACTGTTGTAGTACAATGACTTTAGTTTAGTACACAAATTTAAATTGAAAACGTTAACATTCCAACTCATGTTAGGATTTCATACCTGAAGATCACCAAACGCTATCAAAATGATACACCGAAGCACACCTTCTACCAAACCTTGGATACACTGGAAAAGGAGAATTCATAAGATTTGCTATGGTACAAGATTCACAAATTTGCAATAATCAAGTAAGTATTAAAAGAATATGCAACATGCTATCCGATAATGCTTTAAAACACTAACAAACAAAACATGAGTAATGCATATATCCTATCAGTACACAAATTCTTAGATACATTTACATATCAGTATGCTTGTGAGCAAGAGAAAGGACAAAAGGAGCTCCAACAATTTCCAATGGCAAGGCGTTTAACATTCAAAATAAGAAACTCAACAAACATTGTTCCAAAAGGATGGTCATCGAGTTAGAGAATGGAAGCAGTGGAATTATTTTCATTACGTTAACATCTTTCTGAATTCCTAATTTCTTTATATCCAAACACTCTGAGTTCTGTTTTTCGTTCTTTTCAAGGTATCATGAACAATTGTGCCCCACAGCTGTTGATTACAATCTTCCTTGTCTCTATTTCTCTTGTTTCTTCATTTATCTGTCTGTAATTTTGATTGAGACTCAAAATTGCAGGTAGCTGCCCCCTTGGTCTTCTGGTTCCAAATAAATGTCTGTGCATGTTGATTTTCCAAGGGTGGAAGAGGAAATTAACAAATCTTCATATGTTTGAAGAGAAAACTACATGCATCTACACAGGTTTCTGAGCTTACCCAAGGGCCCAAATACAACATGACTAACAAACCATAAAAAACTCTGCATCATTGCCAAATTAAGTAAAATTACCAATAAAACCCTAATAATTACATATTAACTCCATTGAACCAAATCAAATGCAAGCAGCAAACATAAAGTTAAGAACAAAGCAGAAAAGCCATCCAAAAATCAAATCACGCTGCAGAATAGTTGATCAAAAGTAGGAGAGTAAGAGTAAAACCTTCAAAGCATCTGAAACTTTAGGGAAAGCACATTTCCATTGACACCAACATCTCGAGCCTTTCCAACCTGCTCCACACAAAAGCTTAATCAGAAGCAGTGATTCCAAAATCAAAAGAATATACCATGTCCAGAAATTCATAATATTTCATAAAACTTTCACACGAATAAGCGTGCTTGACACACATGCCAGAAACCTAATACTGATAAAAAGACCTTGGCACAAATTGCCAAGCTAGTAAGATAATGTGGTTCGTGAGTGGAAGTGTGTGCCATTGGGGAAACGCTCTTCTCCAACTACTCAAATCTGCTCGCTTTGAACTCTGTAGCTTTGCGTTCAGACAACACATTTCCCACACTCACCATTAGAACCGTTGCATATGAAATAAATGTAGGATTCATAAAGGTAATTAAGGTAATATTTCTGCAAAAGGTGAGCAAAAGAGATATCAACTGAAAGATGCACAACTATGATGCTAAACATTATGGTAAAAAAATCTAGATATGAATACTGCTTCCATGTCAAGTTATAAGAAACCGAAAAAGACTATTTTTCAAAATGGATTGATTATCAATATTCACCTAAGTTGCAGTCTCCTCTTTACTTTCACAATCGAAAAGGGAAACAGAGGATCCAAAAGAAGTTGATACTAAAATTAGTTTAAAAATACATTCAACCAATTGAATTATTATACAATACTAAAGTTCATAGAGTAATTCCAATACGCTTTTGCAAGTCATTAAGATTATGGAATGTAATTGTTGGTGTTATTAAGAAATATGTATAGCTTAGCCTCAAATAACACAAAAATAAGAATTGAAACAGCAAGAAACAATAGTACAGTGCTCCAACACACAAAATTCATACTAATAACAGCAGAAAAAAAAATTAAAAATCTTTTTCCAAAATATGAAGTACAATATGATGATTCAGTGCAACAACCAATTCCTCAACTCGGATACAAAATTTTCATCATTCTCTTATCTGTTTTCCTTTGTTTTGTGAGTCTTAAACTCAATTGAGATTAGACAGAAAATATAACTAAGATCCCAACCTTCTCAAAAAACTACAACTATTTTAGAAAGAGGCATACAACAGAAACCAAAGAACGGAATATGTGAGAACCGAAACGGTAAGAAGTTAAGAACACCACATACCCATTTCAAAGACCAAAATCCAGCAAAGACCAAAAAATCCTAGAAAATCAGTTTATTAGCACTCCCTGCAGTTGTCCACGGAGCACCAAAAGTTTCCCTGTAAATCCACCATCACACATTAGTTAAAAACCAAGACAAAACACAAAATTACACACGTAACAGAATTAAATAAAAGACAAATAAAAAAGCAATACTTTACGTAAAAGAATTGTCGCAGTTAACCCAATTTACAATGAAAACGTTAAGTGGACAGTTTTGTCAAAAAGATTAGATCGACACATTCCACCTAGGTAGTTCTTGTGGCTTTGGATCGACAGCGGTATTTTCATACAAAAGATTTAATAAACATCGTCCTATTTACATGCAAAAAATGACAAAAATATTGTTCTACTTAGTTACCTATCAGAAAATTATAATGATAGTGAAAATGCTTATGCTATTCGGTAATATGCCAGCTTGAAATCGTTGTGAGAACAAAATCCTTCAAAAACTGATAGGTAACTTTGGCAAATATTTGACAACATATTACACACCAACAATAAAAGGATTTCCATCCTTGTGAGAAAAAAAAAAATACTTCAAAAACTTGTATTGTTCATATCACTATAATTTTATACCTAATGGCATATAGTTTGAAGAAACCGATGACATTTCTCCAAAGTATTTTGAACCAAGAAATGAGAATGACAAATAAGTGCTCCGATGAGCGAGTTTATATGACTATTGAAATTTTGGATTGAAAGAAATACAATACTTGCATAGAGAAGAGGGTCCATCTCAAACACTCCATATGCAATGGATGAGAAACTAAGAAAGTAGCAAAAGAACAATTAAATGGCATGAACTCTATGCTAAATCGACACATAACCGAACCCATTTGAGTCTTACCTCGCAATCATTCACGCAAGTAACTACCACGCACCTTAAGTTTTGCTGCATAAACCTTGCAAGCAACCTAAATGGAGTGGTCTGCTCTTCCAAAGTGTTGACATAAGGTTCTTCGTCAGAAGCAAATGTACCCAACATTTACTCTGATCAACTGACACATAAGAAAGTAAAAAAAATTGGTATAACGGTTAGCATAGTACTTACATAGAGAAAAATGGTCCATCTTGAACACTTCATAAACAGTGGATGAGAAACTAAGAAAATAGCAAAAGAAAAATTAAATGGCATGAACTCTATGTTGAATGAACACATAACCGAACTCATTTTAATCTTACCTCGCGATCGTTTGACCAAATAATTACCAGATTTCCACGGATAAATCAAATATATAATTATTACCATCATGCACTACCATTCCAAATGACCATATCAAGAGAAGGGAAGGGAAGGGAACATTGTGAGGTGAAAAATATAGCTAAGGGTAGAGTAGAATTAACCATTTTGATGTTCCTGTTAATTATGTCTAAAAGAATGTCCATATCCAGTGTATTATTTCTAATAATTGACACAATAGAAATAAATATACAGCCATGTTCATGTAATTCGAAGAGGAACAACCATATACCTGAGTTTTTTCAAATGATGGATCACCCACTCCCCAAATCCCCTGAACATAAAATTCTCATATGCTCGTTTGTTCCTTGTTGTGCCTTGCTCCCATTCGGGTCCTTCTCTTTCTACTAGTTGGAGACTTTGATTCAAGTAAAATCAAGCATTCAAACAACTCATCTTTCACTTGATTGATTGGTACCAGATGAAGGCCATTAATACTCCTTTGTAATTTATTTAACAAAAATATTAAAAACGCTTGAATGAATTTAACAAATCTATGAGCAGCAGTATGTTATTAATTAGTACTATTGACAAATATATACCTGCTGCTTATCCAAGAGATAATTCAATGTCGAAGTGAAATCAATATTCATATGAACTAATTTAAATAAGTGCAAGCATTCATAGCTCAATTGAATTTCCGGCATAATTTTCTTGCCAAAAAACCTTGACCTACAAAACCAAATTACCTTCATCAACAAAAATGAATCAATTTAAGAAAGAAAATACAATGTAGAAAAATAGCCATTCAATTCAACTGTATTTAGATTATACCAAGGTCCATTCAAACAACCATAAAGACAAAATTGGAAAATTGAACAACCAACTTTTTTCAAAAACCATTGGTTACACCCTTCTAACCTCCTTGATTGATCCAGTAAGAACCAAATTAATCTGAAATGAAAAGAAATCCTATTAATTAAATCAATCCAGAATGTAAAACCAATACAGAACAATAGAGAAAAACCAAGAACAAAAACTCCCTAAAACAACGAAAACCTCGCTCTCTATCAACTAATCAATAGTCTGAACCGTGAAAAAAAAAATTTGATTTCAAAGCCTCCTTTACCAACTTAATGACGTATAAAATCATTAATTCCAAAATAAGCCAACTTTCAAAAACCCAAACACGATATCACATTGCAAAAAAACCTTAAACCCTTTACTACAACAAACCTCAAAATACCCAATAACTGTTTCGGATGGCACACACCAATTTTTATCATGAGAAAAAAGCAACCCCAAACCCAAATTAAGCATTTCATAAATCCTGTATAGTGAAAAGAATTTTTTTTTAAAGGGAAGCTCACCAGTGCTGTCATAGGGCTTGAGCAGAGAGCGGTTCCAAAACTGCAAACAAAAGCCCCCAAAAGCAAAATCAAAACGAAACACCCACATACACAGTCGGAGGCTACAAATTAAAAACAAAAAGAAAATTTGAACTGAAAACCCATTTGTAAATCCAAAGAATGTCCAGATCCAATGCATTCTTCCGAATAATTGATACAAAAGAAATAAATATACAGCCATGTTCATGTAATTCGAACAGGAAAAACCATATACTTGAGTTTTTTTCAGATGATTGGTCACCCTCTCCCCAAATCCCCTGAACATAAAATTCTCATGCGCTCGTTTGTTCCATTTTGTGGCTTGCTCCCATTCGGATCCTTCTCTTTCTCCTAGTTGGAGACTCTAATTCAAGTAAAATCAAACATTCAAACAACTCATCTCTCACTTGATTGATTGCTACCAAATGAGGGCCATTAATACTTATTTGTAATTTAATTATCAAAAAAATTAAAAACGCTTGAATGTATTTAACAAATAGGTGAGCAGCAGTATGTAATTAATTAGTACTCTTGACAAATATATACCTGCTGCTTATCTAAGATATGATTCAATGTCGAATCGAAATCAATATTCACATGAACTAATTTAAACAACAAAAATAACAAACTGAATCATTTACCCAAGATATAAATTAACATCACCAAGTCGCCTAAATTAAAACTTACATTGGTGAAATATACAACCCAATGGCAAAGTATTCCCTGCAGTTAATTCAAACGACATTGACAAAAAATTCCCAAAAAATCAATATTCTTACAACCACTTCTATCATATTTTATAAACACACAAAACTCATCAAACAAAAAGACGGGTTAAGAAAAATACCCACTAATCTCATGAATCTGCTCCAGAATGATTTCTCCAAGCACCGTAGTAGCAACAAATGGCTCCACACTGCGTGCTTCATGGCTCGAAGTAGCAACAAAAACCTACAAAAAAGTTGTACAAGGCAATTAACAGCTAAAAATATTAAAATAAATAAATCAGAGAATTACCATATCCAATTTTCAATCACTTAAAATTAGATTGAGAGAAAGTATACTGTTGAGAAAAGACTGACCAGGAAACCCAAGCTTTTCAGGGTAACATTTTCTTCGAATTAAACTGAAAATTTGAAGAAGCTTATATTGCTTCGGTGGCTTTTCAGCAAGAAGACGGGGAGGTCGGATAGCGACAACGGACGACGTTTGAGAGCGAAAGAAAGCTAGCTTGGACAACGACAGAAGGCGAGAGTCGTGACATAAAGCGACAGAGAGAAGCGAAAGGAAAAGAAAAATGGAAAAGAAGTGGAAGCATAAGCTCCAACGTTGATCGAAATTCAATTAAAACAAAAGGTGAGTGAAATCTGTGGAGGCCAGGGTTCCAGGCTTGAGAGAGAGCTTGAGAAATCTGTGGAAGCAAATGGAAGAGCTCTGCTTTTCCACCTTTCTTCCTCTCCCAAATGACTGACGCGCGTAAATTCAGCCTCCTTCCCTTGCCAACACACGTCAAAAACAAGATCAGATCAAACAACCACACACAAAACACCCAAAAAAAAAAAAAAATTACCCAAAACAATTTGGAAACTTTCTTCTTAACCGAACAGAAGATCAAGAAGTAAATGAAGCAAAGCACCTGAAACGCTGTGAACGGTTTCTGGAAAACGGCCAAAAAAAAAAAAAAAAAAACAGAGGAACTAAGTTTTGGAGATTCATTGTTTGAACTTGTTGGATTCAATATTAATGGTGTTTTTGAGATCATTTGGACTCGCAATGTTTTTCTTTATAGCGTCCAAAGAGAAGCATGGCGTTTTCCTTTTTCACGACTAATTATTTGAAGAGTTTTTATCTCCGCATGTTCTTACAACATTTATATTTATTATTTTGTATTTTCAGATTTTTTTTCTTGCAAGTATTTTCCCTTGAGATCATAATCTTCATATGATTGTAATATTTTTCCCTTGTCATAATGAGACATGTCGTTTCCTTGAAACAAAATTATTTTATTTTTAACATTTGCATCAATTAAAATGTCATTGGATTAGATTTAATGTAAGATCATACTTCGAATATTTTGATTAGTATTTAGTAAATTTACTATAGTTTGACAAAAATAAAAAATAAAAAAATAGTTTTTGCATTATGAAAAACTGATCAAATGTCACTTAGCACTACATTCTAATGATATTTTTCTTCACTTATAAGTGAGAGTTCTTAGATTGGATTCTCGCCAAAGACAAATTTGAACAACACTATTGCTAGACTATTGTGAGGCTTAGGCTACGATCCCACCTCATTAGTGTAGATAAAAGTGAGTTAACATTATGATAGAATAAGAATTTGATCCCCTTCAATTTAACCAAAACAAAGAAAATGAAACAACTTCCCATTAGCAACACTAGTGCTTATTTTACCATTCAAAACGGTCTCCCATTTCTGTTTACTAGCTTAGCTAGTAAAGAAAAATCTACGACCCCGTACTGTTATATAGTATTACTAATCCACATATTATGAGTTTAGACGCTGATACTGGGCAACCAAATTATCTCTCATTGGTGCCGCCATCTGTGATTGATTTTTCTTTCTGGGTCACTAAACCCTTTTTTTTCTGGGTCACTGAACCCTTTTAAGGACCATAAAATACTCAAGACTCCATAACTCGAGACAGAAGGAAAGTAACCCACATGGGGTATTCACGTGAGTCTTGAGAAATTCACCTTAGACTAAAGAAAATCCGACGTGCCAAGTACATATTTCCACTGATTTTCCAAGATATACTGTATAAGTTTAGATGTTTAAATTTTCACTCGATTTTTCTCGAGCGTCTGTATGCACTTGACACATATTTGACCACTAAATTTGATACAACAGCATATTGCATTTAGTGATTCATCTCCATGTCACTACAGTACATCAGTAACCAACCCTAGAGGCTGTCAAAGTTTCAACGAAGTTATCGAGGTCATGTCGTCGATAACTGAATCTTTATCCACATGTTTTTCTCTGTTTCAGGCATAAAACTGTTTTCAGGGTGGAAAAATGATCAAGTAGAAATATGTGATATACTCATACAGCCCGGTGACTCTCCACGAACATAAAATTTCTCTACTGTACAAAGATAATACAATTATTCTTTCATCATCTGGGAGGCACCTTGAAAAGCCGTAAGCACAAAGAAAAAACATTATATTTTCTAATATACCTCCAGTTCCAACTTCTATACAACGATGTAGCTCTTCATCCGAATAAGATAATGATGTTCTGACTTTTGAACATGTCAACCCAAATGTAAGCGCAACTCACTTATCTTCTCCATTGATTCCAAAGATCCGGACTTTGTGCATGTTGGGGAATTTTGCAATGACGAGCACGATGACTGCAAGACTGTTGAAAAACAGCATCGGATGCTGGTAGTCGGTTGTGTGCGAGGCTATCAAGTACCTGGCAGGAAAGAAGGAAGACAAAAATGTGAACTAACATGATTTTTTGTTCGAACCAACCTTTCAATACATAATCCTAGAGTAAAATTATAATCCTTAGGACTGGTATCTGTCAGCAGGTTCATACAAATCCTATCACAATCAGAGCTTCAGAAATTTCTATTTATTTCCAATGCCTTGGTAATAACATATTAAACAAAAACATGGGCAATGCTTCTGACCAAGACTGAGCAACTGACTCCCAAAACTACCAAGATCTCCAGCTGCACCAAGACAAATTCTCACTCCTGGTATACGGGGTTGGGGGTCTACAAACGCTATCCTTGTAAGTTGGGAAGCCAATCAAGCACATTCTAGTAGTAGGTAAATCCAACACATCTCAAAGCCATACCAAATGTTGATGTGATCAACAAGATTATGTGAATTATTTGATGGTGAAAACAGGCCCTAAGCTCATACTGAAGTTCTGGTAAAAATCTAGACTGAACTGTTGGTGGAGTGTTATAAACTGAAAATACTCAACCAAATCAATAAACAGATTGTGCTCAGGGTAATTCCAAAGAGCCAATAGACCAGAACCAGAAATTCTTAATATTCTAAATGTACTATCACAAGTTTTCACAAATTTTTCATTTTTTTTAACTTCTAAGTGCTAACTAAGGAATGAAGTAACCGGGCGTCCTCTTTATGTCCTCTTTATTGTAGTTGGCCATCTGAAGGAGTCTGGTACAGAGTTGCAACCCATGTACAGACTTAGCTTTAAATTGGACCCGTAAATTTTGGTATAGTATGTTTGGGACAGTTCAACAAATGTGTATGTGCAACAAACACATGGTTGGAAAGGTTTGAACGGGCTTCTGGAGTTGGGCGGGTTAATTTAAATAAAATCTTGAAAAGCCAAAAGGTTCAACAATATTTAAATTTAGTGCAAAGAACTGAAAAATGCTAATCTTACAGCAAAAAAATCAACTTACAGCACCACAGGAACAACGGTTAAGAACTTCCTGTTGCGAGTGAGCTGCTTTCCACCATCCATCTGCTCCCACCATGTCAGTCCATTGTAGATCCCCTGGTCTTCAGCAAAGGGAGTTCCTTTCTTCCAATGGAAGAAGTGATATGTGATCTGAAGAAGAATCAGACTCTTCAAATACGGTACACGGAAATGTGAATGAGACTAACCTAGAGTTAAGAGGTCAGACTAACAAAGCAGAAGACTGAACACAATGCTTAGAAATTATAAATCAAAATGTTATTTGGCCCAAAGCCTTAGATAAATGGATAATTCAGGATAGAATGTCAAATGATTAAACAGAGGAGTCAGAAACATCATACCAAAACTAGAGAACAAAAAGAGACCTCAAAGTTGTTTCCAACAAAGTCTACAATTCTAAAAATACAACTACCAGTTATGTGCATTAATTGGATATGAACCGTTATGAGTTATAACTATAGCACCACAAAATTGGAGAATTTTCTATTTCCATGCAATCTATGGGGACATATCTAACTCTTTTTCCTGAACTCCCAAGTTCAGAAAAGAGGACATAATGAGTACTGTTGAAAATAGAACAAAGAATGGGTTTCGTTATGAATTACAATGCCAATCACCCCAAGTTGTGAACAAAGTGTATGGACAAGAAAATATATTGACAGGGCACACAACTAGGCGAAGTTTGGAATCCTTTCATGCCACTGTCTTCCAAAACTTAACAACTGACCGACCTCAAAACATTGCTTAGTTCAGTTAAGGTAATATTTGCGTCTCTAAACCAAAATGAAATTGTAATATTCAAATGTTATCTATCTACTTTCTTTAAGATTATAGTAGCAACCAAGTTAAATAGTGAATTATTATATCCACGCCATAAGGCTTCACATGATTAACCTCGTTTTCTAAGCTAAACCAACGACGACTCCAACATCCAGCTCATACCCTCTATTACAGGATTGAAGCAAATCCTATCTTAAATCAAGAAATTCACTAACTAGGTCCTCTCCCTCTACAGAATATCTCACATGAACTGATAACTACATGAAACGCCCCAATTAAACATCGAAATATATAACCCGTGTAGAATTATGAAAGCTGCACCCAATCACAAATGTGGAAACACAAAGTATCATCATTATGCTGAATAATTACAACATGGGTTTCATACTTTCGTACAAAATTCAACTAAATGCAATTACTTGAATGAATAAGCATCAAATCCAACAGCCTCTAATCAACAAACATAAAATATTCCACAAACCCAATTGAAAACAACACCAATCAATCAAACCCAGAAAGACAAACGAGCAAAAACCACACCTGCACACCAAAAATCACATGGAGAGAGAGAGAGAGAGAGAGAGAGAGAGAGAGATACCGCAAAATGAGAGAGATTGACTATGGTCCAAGCCATGCCAGGAGAGCAGCCAAAGATTGAGAGCACGAGAAGCCAAGAGAAGAAGAGGATGAGGATATAGGTGGTCCAAACACCAGGGTACATGAACCACTCTGTGTTCCTATTCAGATCCGCAGGTGGCGCAGCTTTCACATACAGACTCGCCATCCAAAATTTCGGATTCTGGGTTTTGATTCGGCGACCCTTTTGGAAGAAAACTTGAGGAATTTGGTGGGTTTTGATTTGGGGATAAGCTGGATTTGAATCTGCGTATTGGATTGAAATTTGGTCGTTTTTTGGGTGCTTGATGGTTTCGAAAATCCAAAACCCGAAAACCAGAGCACTTCTGATTTGCTTTTTATTGACGGAGGATTATTACAAAATAGAGGGGAAATACTGATATTTACAGGGCTAAACGACGCCGTTCCGGTAAATCTCATAAGGCAGCTACTAAATTTTTGTGCTTGATAAGAAGAAAATATTTATTTTTTGGGATCCTGTTTTAAATTTGTTTACTAGTCAAGTTTATTTATTTTGAATTTACAGATTTCTTTACTAAATTAGATCTTGTATTTTTAGTAGGCTCGAGATGAAAAAATCATTGAATTTTTTTAGGGAATTGTATTAGCACTCTAAAAATCTTATTTGACAGTCCAAATTTTCTATAATTAGAAAGAAAATTTTTTTAGGGAATTGTATTAGCACTCTAAAAATCTTATTTGACAGTCCAAATTTTCTATAATTAGAAAGAAAAATATACTTGTGAAGAGTGTAGAATGAGATTTTTGAAGTACTAATAACAATTCTCTTTTTTTATTGTGGATTTGGTTCTTTACTTACTAATGGCTGCCATGGTAAATTTTTTGTAAATTCCAAAAAAATATCAGAACACAATAGCGCTCAATTGTTAATAGAACGCTAATCACTACACAACGTATTTTCACGATTCAAACTGTCTAATTTTAGATAATAGCATTTAAAAAAAAAAATCACTAAGTTACAGTTAAACTATTGAACAATAATTTTGATGCAACAATGAAATATTAATGATATCCCTCGGCTCCTCAAATCAAGAATACACTAATGAAAGAAACGGTAAGCCAAGCCAACCATAATCACCATACATATTCCAGATCAATACACTTAAAAACGGGTGAGGATCCTCGCCAGATCCTCAAATCACATTCGTTTATTGTACAAGGTGCGGTCAGAAATCATTGTAAATTTTTTTTATTTAAATTTGAATATAAACAGTATCTGATGAAAACTAACTGCACAATGTATAATAAACGAATATAATTAGAAGATTTCCAGGATTCTCACAAAAAGAATCCAACGCTGTCCTTGAAAATTTCAAGGACCCCTATAACTTTCACAATCCGAAGAGTTTGTTGGAAGTTGGCTAATGTGAAGTCTGTGTCACAATCAAATCATGAAAGTGTTGTCCAAATAATATTAATAATTGATAAAGACAAGGGCCAAGGCCCATCTCAAGCCTATTAACTAGGGTTTGATTCAAAGTGGATATTAGGCATAGGTCGGTTGTGGTTGGCTCAACCTTTTGTGTATGGAGTTCATAATTTTCTTTTTACTTTTTTGCTTGGCAAGTATACAGTTTAGCTTCATGCCCAGGTACAGACTATTAACAAGTACATGGTATTACCAACCAAAGTGCAGCCCAAGGTGAAGGACCATTTCAAATTTTCAACCAAAGACACCTAACAAGTTGACAAGTAGGGATGTCAAGTTTTCTTCTGTCCTGGCTATCTCCGTGAACTCGGCTATTAGGGTGGAGGTGGAATGCTCCCGTCTTCACCAATATGGTCATTAAGTACGTAGTATTACAAACCAAAATGTATTTCAGGTTTAAGGCTATTCAACCAAGTAGATACAAAACTCTTTAACATGAAGAGAAAAACTTGAGTATGAACAGTCTAACCAGTCGAGTCAAATGGCCAGTGCAATCCTCCCATCAGCCCATGTGTTGTAGATACAACTCTCATTGCACGTGCCGCACATTTCCACCCATTATCAATTGGGCAATTCAGGCATGATTCATGACCAATTGACTGACCAAAATGACGTACCAAAGTTATTCACATAATGTAAGAAACAAGACATAAGTAGCAAATCTCCAAGTTTGTTTAACAAGTTACTAGAAAAATTATGTGAAATATTGGCAATCTCCTCAATGACTTTGACAAGTACAACATTTCAGCCGGTTTGTTATACTTTAGTTTTGAATTTTCGTTCATCGTGTCTCTTGGAATTGATTTGTGAGTTGACCTTTAGAATTGATCTGTGAGTTGACCTTTCCATTGACTACTATTTCTTAGGAAACTGATGTTTCGTCCACCTCTCTTTATTTCTATCCCTTGATTATCCTTTGTTTTTGTTTAATTCAAAGGCCAAAAAGAAAAAGAGGTGTGCAGCATGAGAAAAGAGATGTGCGGAAATCACTTCCCTTCCAGTACAAAGTTTTCCACAGTATCAAGTTAAGGTGAATAAAAGTTACCAATTGGTTATTTCATTGCAGGTGCTACATTCAATAAAAGCATAAATAGAGTAGTGGGAACTTCTCTTGCTGGATCACTTGGCTTGGGTGTTCACTGGAGTTCTTGTAAGGCAGGAGAAAACTTTGAGCCCATAATTATTGGAACCTCAATTTTCCTCCTAGATGTGAGCATTGTTGTTCTAAATTTCGGATTCATAATCATTTCGTTAGTGTTTCTCTTAAGCTTAATCAGCATTTTAAAACAATACTTGGTGTTCATTTTGCAGCTTCAGCAACAATCTTTTCTCGGTTCATCCTATCAGTCAAATCACGATTAGATTATGGTGCTCTCATCTTCATCCTCACCTTCAGCTTAGTTTCGATTTCCGAGTATCGCGTGGAAGAGTTGTCAGAGTTAGCTTACCATAGATTATTCACCGTTGGCATTGGGACCTCAATTTGCATTCTAATAAGCATGCTCTTTTATCCCAACTGGGCTGGTCAACAGCTCCACTGTTTGATTTATAGTAACCTGGAGAAACTGGCTGATTCCTTGGATGGTATATATCTCTCATTACAATACTTAGATGACATGTTTCAACTGCTTCTAGAAAGGCTAAAAACATCTTCTACCAACTAAAAAGGTTTCTGACAGCATTTGGTAGAAAAACTTAATAGCGCTTTTGGTCATAGAAGCGTTTTACGGACAAGCACCTGCTGAATTCTTCTTAAAGAAGCACTCCCAAGTGCTTTCACAAATAGTATTTGGATTTACGGAAGCAGTTCCAAACGAGCCCTTACTATCATTTTCATTTGTATTAGTAATGACAATATTTAGCAAGATATATGTTGGAGTACTTCAAAGAGAATGAAGATGTGACTGAAGACAATTGTTCTACTAAGCAAATCAAATGGCATAAATTTGTGCGCGATTCGAAGGCAACAGAATACAAGTCTGTATTCGTATATGCACAGTTCCGCTTCTGTCAAATTTGTATGTACAGAAAACAAGTTTGTATGAACAGTTGAGTTTGCAATTTACCAACAATGCGCACCTAATTTGAAACATCCTCAATTTGGTTGAAATTTATTTTCTAACTTTCTTTTCCGATTTAAAAATACCACGGAAGGAAGAGTGCAAGATGACTATTTTGAAGTGAAAAATTGGAAAGAACCAACGATTATGAACACCAGATAAGTACTGCTTTCATTCCTTCCTTGCATGAATTAGAAAACACGATTATGTGACAGTTACAAATGAGTAGTAAAACCCACATTAGTACTTCAGTCATTAACGTCGAGAATGCTTATTCAACACTGACTATCACTCTATACATGCAATTCCACGGCACTTGACTTGCTCAAGAACCATGTTCACATTACCCAGTAATTTGTGTAATAAGGGAATCGGAATCATCGTCCTCAGTTATTTCCTCCTCATGGTCGCTGCCCCAACCCAAGTTCACGGCCAAATCCTCCACGGCCACCTTGATCACATCAGTTCGAACACCAATGTCAGTTGCATACCTGCTCATACAGTACATCCCAGCAGTTACGGTAGCTACACCAACCGAGCTGGGCATCAACAACTTCAGAGGAGAAGAAAGAATGGCTGCCAATGGGGCGCCAATAACAGAAGAAGCTTGACCACTTCTTCCCACGCCTTCCTTGTCTATTATCAAGAGACCGGTTTTGCAATACATAGCAAAGTCCTCGCAGTTGTTTTGAAATATATCGTAGTTGCCAAATCCATTTTGAAGAAGATACATCGCGCGGTGGACAACCGTTTCTGATGGGTCGGATGCTGCAGTTGTGCATGTGCCACCCCGTACTTTTGCAAGGAAAACCGAAGGGCTAACCCCATATTCGAAGCAGTAAAGGGATCCATTTTTGAGGAAGCAGTCCAGGCATGAGAGGACAACGCCACTGTTGGGTTGCCGAAATCCACAGTCAGGAGTGGTGGAACAGGACATTGAATCATAAACATCAGATGATGATTCAGTGCTTGAGTTCAAGTTTCTCTTGGGTCTAAAATGGACCACCTTGCTTCCGCCCAGATAAATACCTGTGTGATATGATATTCAATACAGCTCTTGATTAAACTCATCCAAACATAATAGTAACGAAAATGCTTAGTTCATAAAAATAAGTTCAAATGAACTAAAGCACTGGATGATTTATTTGAGCTACAGATTTGACATTAGAAAAATCGTACTATATTAGACAGAATGAACACAATTGAAAATTGAAATAGGAAGAACAAAATCAGGTTAAATAAGATGATGACGATGATGATGAAGATGAGAGAAAATTTTACGTTGAAATAGGAACCATATTCTTCTACCTTCTGTTACATAGGTCAAATCAAACCTCCTAAATGTGAAACTCACGTCAGAGATGTAGACACATTCTGCATACAATATGTCCAAGTACATTTTGCAAATCCGCAGTATATGTAATTCGTGAAGAGGCATCGTAGTTAATTCAGAAGAATTAATGTGCTATTCTGCTACCTAGCGATCGGGGAACCTGAATGACAACATTTATTTGAGAATTCTGTTTTCGAGTCCAAGTTGCGAATGAATATGTTAGCCAGCAAAGGTTAACAGGCTATGAACAACAGGAAAAAAGGAAGGAGAAACACATTCTAATCCCTGAAAAGGAAAGAAACAAATAGTTCTGTCGATTTATATATTTCTTTGTTGAACCACTCAATTACAAACCATTCAACAAACAATCTTTGAAACAACAGTTGGTGCTTAGAAACCTCTGAAAAGCAAATCCAGTGAACAAACAAGACGACGACAACAACAAAGCATTATCCCACTAAATAAGATCAGTTTTATGAATCTTAGAATGTCACTGCAGACTGTTTTGCGCCAAATCTTCCGATAGCTCTAATCCATGAACAAACAAGGTTAAAGAAAAATTTAAAAAGAAAAAGAAGGGAACTTTGAAGAAATTACTAAGTCAGCTTTCATCATCATGCCGAAACCAATCAGTAGCAGTCAAGGGTAGAAAATTCAATCACATCACATCACAAAACGATTATCCGATTGCATCGATTTGAAGAAATTACTACCATCTAAACAGTAACAAGTTTTCATTTTTTATTTACACTGTCAATAAGTCAACAACTATTTGTTTTTTGGACTGGTGGGAGGGATTAATCAAGGAATCCACAACCATAAACTTGCAAGCAAAGAAACTTAAAATTCAATGAAAAAAGATGCAATAATTCAACTGACAATTGAACCCCGAAAGTAGAATTAAACAAACAAATGAAAGAAATGCCAAAAACCCAGAAATCCCATCACTCCATGAACCCACATTAAGTAATCCTTCAAAAAGCATATATATATATATATATATACACACACACCTAGGAATAAAATTAAAATAAAATAACAAAACGAGAGAGAGGGAGAGAACCGTGGTGAGAGTAGGCAAAGACGGCTCTGTAGGTGTAGATGTGGTCTCCTAGCTTGATCTCATTTCTCTCCACTCTGTTCGTCAGCAGACCCATCTCTCTCTTACTCCTCACTTTCTCTCTCTAGACTGCGTCTTCATCTGGTCTTCTGTAATTACACCATAAGCAAAAGCAAACCGCTTGCGTCTATAAAAAAAATGTAGATAGACAGACTGACTGGATTGACGCATAAATGCTAAACGATGAGAATCTAAATAAAAATAAAATTAAAATTAAGGGGTGCGGCAGAAAAGGATTGGCTCACCAAAGCAGTGGTTAAACGACCTTTTTACCAAAATTTATACAACATCAATATAACACATTTTTGGATTTTAATTTTCTGGATCATGAATAATCATGACCAACTTTGATAATGAATTTGAGATGAAGGATTGTATTTTTCTCAAATGATAAATTTTGTTAAAGTAGATGTTAAATTAATTATCGATATAATTCGAACTCATACCATGATACAAGCATTCTTTTTCACCATTGTGATAAACGATCACCTAGAATTTGAGATGGAGGATGATGACCCCCTTTTTATTTCCTTCTCTTAGTATTCGTGTGTTAGGAGTTGGGTCTTTTGGGTCTTTGGGTCTTTAGAGAAACAAGTGGAAATTGCAATAGAATAAAAAAAGGACTTTGTGGTGGCTCCACTTCATAATTTTTTTCTTGTCATTCTCATTTTCTTTTATCACCTATCACCAATCAAATTCTTATAGTTTGGTGATTTTTTTATTTTATTTTTTGGTGTGACAGTCACATTGTTACATGTTATTATGGCTCCACTTACGTGTAAAAATCACTTTCCTATGTATATAATTATTTAAGTTGAATTTCCATTATCTTATCATAGTGTAATCGTCGAATTCAAATCTTCTATATTCATTTGTATGGGATTTCTCTTTAACTTTCATCATTGACTGACACGTGTTAATAAACTTAATCTTTTCTAACTTTGTTGTCATAACTTTGTTGTCACTTAATAACAAAGACCACAAAACAGTACACACAAAATAAAAACAAAGCATTTCATCTCATAACGGTCAGACTCAATAGTTTCTCATGTTTTTATTTTGTTCCAACGCAATTTACGGGAAAAAAGCAAAGAATGTCGAATGCTTTGGATTCTTTGCCACGGTTCCACGTTGTACGTGTTTCACATTCATGATTTGATTTTGCCACTTGGCTTTCTTTTGTTTTCTCTTTTCCCATATTTTCCCCTTTTTTTTTTCCTTTTCTCATTTGCTACTTGACAACCTTAAATTAAAAAGAAAATACAATGTATTTAAAAAGATTAAATGCATTGTGATATTACAATTTTTAAATGAATCAAATCATGAATTTATTTTATTTATTTCCATGCAAATACAAATGTGAATTATTTTCAAACTAATACACCACCCGAAACTTATATCCAGTAATTATGGTAGGGTTTTTAAATTTATATATATATATATATATATATATATATATATTTCTTTTAAAAGAGGGATAATTGGTGGCAAACCATGGTTATCCACGTCTTCTTACCTCGGAAGTCTGTGGGGAAGTTCATCATGCCCATGACCACAGTTAAGTAGACTTCCCCCCTTCCTGGCCCAGAAAGATTATGAGAAATTTCATCTTGCTCGTGGTTACAGTCAAGCAAACTCACTAGCTCGGATCACCGAACTTGGAACCTTCCAAATTTTTTTGTTTATTTAGGAGCTGCAATACGTACCCTTACCACTGAGTCACTTGTTGTGATTAATTTTAAATAAAATTAATAAGAGTAATACTAGAAAAAACCAAATTTTTTAAATCAAATTGCAAACTAAATAATGTGTCACCAATAAAAAACAAGCACGTTAATCGACACTTAATTAATAATTCAATCATCTACAACCACATCATTTAGTTTACAAATATGGTTTAAAAAATTTGGTCTACCTAGTGTTACTCTATTAATTAATATACAATAAAGAACCAATCTAAAGCATAATAACACACATCCTAATTAATGAATCCGGATCCTCGCCGAACCTCTTTGTGAGGATCCTAGAGATTCGTCAATCATTTCCTTTCATTGTACATTGTATGGTCAGAAATTATTTAAAATATTTTTATTTAAAATTAAATACAAACAATACTTGACAAAAACTGACTACATGATATACAATGAACGGACACAATTCACAAATCCCCATATCCTCACCAAAAGGATCCGGAGAGGATCCTGTTGGTAATAACACACCTCCTAATTAATTATCTAAGAAGATGTTCCAGTTGAATACTTTGACGTCAAAATTTGAATCTTGTTCCAGCAAATGCCTTAGTTCCTTTGCCTGCTTGGCATCCCTGGCAAGCAACAAGCAAAGCCTCCGCCCCCAGCACCCACAAGCTTGTAGCTGGTGCAGTACGGGTGCGCAAATCTGCAGAGTTGATCCATAAGCTGGTCATTGCAGTAAGGGTCGAGTTCTTGATGCAGCCTCCAAGCCTCTAGCATTACCTCCCCAAGGTCATCTATGTCACAATTCATTAGAACTTCTCTTCCTATCTTGGCTAGTTCAGCTAAGTGCTTGATGCTAGATACAAGAAGGTTGTCCCTTTGGCTTCGGAGGTAGCGGATTACCACCTTTTGCAACATTTGGTGCGCAAGTCGAACCTGCACCAAATCACATTTACATTACTTCAAATACATGGGAAACAGACATGTTTTCAATGAGAAAGTGAGAGCAACGTGAGATTGGACACAAGGAATAAAGCAATATCAAGTTAAGGTCCAACAACTAAAGTGTGCGTGTAGAACAAGACTCTAAATTTTCACCTTAACGAGCAACGGAGCAAACTTCTATGCTTTTCACAATTGATAATAAGATTATGTAATGCAATTATGCAAGAAAAGTCTTAGAATGCATATCCAAACTGGAAAAGGAAAGGCGCAACGTACTTGACCAGTAAAAGCCACAAGCAAGCGTTGCTGCAGCTCTGAAATTAATGGGGGAGAAGCCAAGAGTAGGACGACTTGTAGTCGCAATGGAATTCCAGAAAAGCTTGAAGTACATTTAATACAGGAACAACTCTTGCAACATTTTCATTACTTTCATCTCCATCGGTAATCTGGATGAGTCATTTCACAACTGCAGCTGCTAAGATGCTAGAAGTCCCCAAGCCACTGCCATGAGGTACACGGGCCCTTGTCCTGATCTGTAGACCCTTGGATGCAAGAATGTTTTCATGAATAATGCCAGTCACAAGCAGTGCGGATTTGGCAAAACGAAATAGATCGTTGTCATCAAATGGAATTGATTCTGTTCCATTGACTAATATTTCTTAACCAACAAGTAATAGTTTAACTTTCACTCCATAAATACATATTTTAGTAAAATCCCACGTCGACCAAATTGTCTCTGTTGCATGAACGGAATAGTTTTCTTACCAGATGAAAAGGAAAAGGGAAAAGTACTTAATATGTGGAATAATACTACAGCTCATGGAGATTGTGGCAACAAATTAAAGTTGAATGCCACGACATTTTGGCACGTTGATGTAGCACTAACATATAGAAAATCCTATATTTTAATTCTTTATCGGGTGATAAAACTGAATGTGATACCTTTTTTAGTATTAAAAGATGAAGTGCTATTAGGCTAAGAATTAATCGATTAAAGATGATTCAGACATAAAAAAAGCTATATGAATACTTGAATCAAAGATGACATGCATTACTCTTGGCCTCTATTTCTTAAACAATCTAAAAGTTGAAGATATGAAAAATTATATGTACCTTGGTTCCTTTTGGTAATGCGTTTTATGATGTAATGGACCAACTAAAATATTAATCCTGCAATAGTACGTGCATAATTAGGTCATGCTTTTTAGGGATTTTAGGTTATGATGATCCAAACCCTAATGATTAAGTGCATGTGCATCTGCTCAATTTAAAAGCTTAAACATATTATCCACTTATGACTTGTCTAACAAGATAACAGCACCGAACATTGTTAATTTGAAACCATTAAGTTAAGCTTAATGGAGATGACGATATTAGCAAATGCTTACCAAAATTTAGGTTATTGTTGTGTTTTCATTGCTTTCTCTTAGAGCATTAATCTGTCTGCTCAAGGAATTGAAATTTCTAGTGAATAAATATGTAAGGCACATGAAGCTTAACACGTACATTAAGGCAAACCACTTGGCTAAGAGCTTCGATTAGTCCGATCCAAACTGCCCTAATATCGTTGTTCTTGTTAGCCCTGGCCAACATGGCAAGTGAAAAGTATGTGTTAGGGAATGTGGAATGGAGTATCAATGTAGCTGATGGGACGAAAAATACATCGGGACTAGTTGATACGGCGACGTTGCTAGGGTTGAAGGGTGCGGTTAGAGGATTGGTGATGAAAGTTTGGAGGTTTTTAGTGAAGGCATGGAAGTTGGGAGTTGCTGAGCTCGGAAAGGTGATCCATGCTCTCAAAGTAGGGTTGGCTATTTCTTTTGTGTTACTTTTTTTACTACATAAGGTCTTTGCATGAAGGTCTAGGAGGGAATGCAATGTGGGCGGTTATGACTGTTGTGGTAGTTTTCGAATCAACTGTAGATGATTAAAACTGTCAAAAAATCAAATTTGTTGATTATCAAATGGAAACTGATGTTCCATCCACCTCTCTTTATTTATGTCCCTCGATTGTCCTTTAATTTGTTTAATTCAAGGGCCAAAGAGAAAAAAAGGTGTGCAGTGGAAGAAAAAAGATGCATGGAAATCACTTCCCTTCCCGCACAAAGTTTTCTACAGTATCAAATTAAAGTGAATAAAAGTAACCAATTGGCCATTTCATTGCAGGTGCTACACTCTATAAAGGCATAAATAGAGCAGCAGGAACTTCTCTTGCTGGATCATTTGGCTTGTGTGTCCACTGAAGTTCTTGCAAGGCAGGAGAAAACTTTGAGCCCATAATTATTGGAACCTCAGTTTTCCTCCTAGATGTGAGCATTATTGTTCTAAATTTCGGATTCATAACATTTTGTTGGTGTTTCGCTTGAGCTTAATTTGCAATTTAAAACAATAGTTGGTG